GCCAGGTGCCCCCCTTTAGCCATTTTTCAAGGTAGACCTACTAGCAATAACTTCGCTTAGTTTTCCTTCATCTGAGAATCTCTTTATTTCCCATTAATTCTCTCTCTTTTTTAAAGATTTTATTTATTTATTTGACAGAGAGAGAGACACAGCGAGAGAGGGAACACAAGCAGGGGGAGTGGGAGAGGGAGAAGCAGGCTTCCCGCCGAGCAGGGAGCCCGATGTGGGACTCGATCCCAGGACCCTGGGATCATGACCTGAGCCGAAGGCAGATGCTTAATGACTGAGCCACCCAGGCACCCCAATTTCCCATTCATTCTTAAGGGATATTTTCACTAGATACAGTTGATAATTCATTTCTTTGAGCACATGAAAAGTGTCATGTCACTTCCAATTTCAGATGAGAAATCTTCTGTCATTCAAATTGGTATGTCTATAGGTAATGGGTTATTTTTCTGTTGGCTGCTTTCAAGAATTTTCTTTTTCTTTAGATTTTTAATCTTCTTGGTATATAGGGCCTTTTTTTTTTATTTTTAACTCATGATGTGTCTTGTTATTGATTGCTTGAATTTATCATGTTTGGGGTTTGCTCAAGTTCTTGAATTTGTAGGTTTGTGACTTTCACCAAATTTGAAAAGTTTTCAGCCACCATTATTTCTTTAAAGATTTTTTTTCAGCTTCACACTCTTTCTGGGACTTTGAGGATATGAATATTATGTTTTGTTATTGATACATAGATCTCTGAGTCTCTGTTCATTTTTTTTTTAGTCAATTTTTTTCTGTTTTTCAGAAAGGGTAATTGTATTGTTCTATCCTTTAGTTCATTGATTCTCTCCCTTATCACTTTTATTGCACTATTGAGCCCATCTAGTGAGATTTTTTTTAATTGGAGCTTTTAAGTCCTACAATTTCCATTTGGTTCTTCTCTATATTCTCTATTTTTTCGTAGATTAAAAAATTTTTTTGCTTCAAGAGTATCTGTAATTGCTCATTAAAGCATTTTTGTTATGCCTGCTTTAAAATCTTTATTGAATAATTCCAATGTTTGTGTCATCTCTATATTGACATCTGTTGATTGTCTTTTCTTTTTTTTTTTTTAATATTTATGTATTTATTTGAGAGAGACAGAGAGTGCAGGGAGGGGCAGAGGGAGAGAGAATCCTCAAGCAAACTCCCTGCTGAGCATGGAGCCTGATGCGGGGTTCAATCCCAGGACACTGAGATCATGACCTGAGCTGAAATCAAGAGCCAGCCGCTTAACTGACCGAGACACACAGGCACCCTGTTGATTGTCTTTTCTCATTCAAGTTGTAATTTTCTCTGTTCTTGGTATGATGAGTGATTTTCCATTGTATTGTGGACATTTTGTATAGTATGTTAGGACCCTCTAGATCTTGTTTAAATTTTCTATTTTAAATCATATTGTTTAGGTTTATCACATAAATTCTGGCCCACTTTTGTGGGCTATGGTTCCAATAACAACTTAGTTTTCAGAGCCTTGACTGTTCTATTCTGGTCTGCTTTGTTTACCTGATGTTACTGGTATTCTTCCTTGCTCCCTGTTGGTATTGCTTGCAAAGACAGAAGGTACTTTTTCAGACTGCCCAGTGACCCTGGGTCAGGGGTGGGAGACGTCAAGCCAACAGGGCAGCGACCACTTTGTTGGGCCTGCTCACCAGCAGCCCTGTGCCGGGGGCTAGAAGAGGGGACTTCTGCCCGCACCAAGCCACCTTCTGCCCCTGGGCGAAGGGCTGGGAGATAGTAGGCCTGGAGACCCTAGAATTTGTAGACAGACTGTTTTTCTTCACTGAGATCTTTTATGGAATTGAAATTTTATTTCCCTCTGGAGCCACATTTTCACTGTAAGTCAGACAATAGAGCTGTCATATTTCTGAAAACTGCTTTCCTAAAATCTTCACCTGGACTCACCAGAGTTTACTCCAGGGATGCTCATTCTAGTTTACTGGAAGTGTCATTCATTCTCTCATCTCAGAAACTCTTCCTCATTGGTGAAATCCACATTGAGGTTGATGTTCCTTTGCAGTTTTTCTACCCTCTCAGAAATCAGCATAGAGGGTAAAGAATTTACCAGACTTTCTGTTTTGTAAGCAAGTTAGTTAAATGCCCACAGATTCAAAGTTCCCAGTTTCTACTTTGCCTCTGTTACATAAAAGCTCTACTTAAAAGAGCATTCTGGGCCTGAGTGGACACCCCCGAACTATTCCCATCTATACTACCATGTTTGTTTTTCCTCTCACTATCTTCACTCAAATGCCTTCCATTTTTCCTATCATCCGGTTTGAAAATATCTATATCTTCCATGCTGGCCCTATAACATCTGTGCCTCTGAACACACTATCTTTCTATTCCCATCATTTCCTTAAGTTTAGTGCTGTCTATGAGATCGTATTCATCGTCCACCATCTTCTGCTAAATATGAGGCTTCCCTTGTACATTACCCATCCTTGCCATTATCATATGCTTGCCTGAGGTCTGAAGTTGCATTTCCAATGCTTTTCCAATACTTCTAAACTGACACTGTTACTCTGCATGTGTTCAGGACCCAAACCTCTGCAGCCTCTCATCCATCCATGCATTCATCATCTTTCCAGCTCATGTTGTGTGGTTGATACTGTGTTGGTGCTGGACGGCACCCCAGAAGCTTCTGGAACATAGGGGGGGCAGGGAGGAGGGAAACTGAGACATAAACAGACACAGTTCAGGATGATGGATGCCATATCAGGTGGAAAAAGAGCGATGTGGGGAAGCAGAGCAGGGTTCCACCTAACCCAGGGGAGTCAGAGAATGTATCTTGGAACAGGAGAAGCTCCACTGTGCTCCCAAAGGATGAGAAGGAATTAGTTGTGTAGGGGGGAGGAAGCAGGGCTGTATTTTCAGAGAAATACATGACCTGGAGTGAGAAGGGTGTAATGATGAGTGGTCTGGCCTGCATGTGTCTCAGGGTCCACGTGGGGTGTGGTGTGAAGGTGCAGCCACAGGAGAGCCGGTGGACAGAGGTCTTCCTGTTTGTCCCAAGGACCGTGAACAGCCACTGGAGCACTGAAGGCAGGGAACTGACTTGGCCAGGTTGTGTGTTAGAGAGTTCACTCAGACTGCTGTGTGGGGCCCCAATTTGGGAGATGCAGTGCAGGGGGGACTGTGCTAGACTAAGCATACCCAAGTGCCACTAACTAAAATACCACCCAACCAAGAAATCATTCCTCTTGCTGCTGCTGAAGCCGTCTTGAGACCACCATGCTTTAGACAATGCTAAAGCAGGGGTTTCTGTTCTGCAGGTGGCTGGAAGCAATATCAGCAGAATAATGAAGCTTCCACAAGTGATAGAAAACAGACTCAAGGTTCATACACATCTATGATGACTCAACTGAAAACCCACCATCACCTACCACAAAGCAAAAAAAAAATGTGTTCACGAGCCCCCACTCCCTCCCCTGGGATGCCCACCTATGATCCCTTTGCCCTTCACATCTGCCCTTGGGGCGCATTTCAGCCTCATTTTTCCAAGGGCAACTGTCTGTGTAGGCTAGTGAGGCAAGCTCAGGCCTTGGGGTTAGATGGACCTAGGGGCATGTGCCTGTTGTGTTGCCCTAACTTCTCTGAACCCCAAGTCTGTATAAGAGGATGGTCACACCTACCTTGCAGGATCGCCAAAAGCATTATAGATGATATCAGACAATGCCCAGCACAGAGTAGGTGCTCTGTCAGTATGAGTGGTGGGAAGCACAGGGCCTTCTGCAGGCTGGCTCCCTCCCTTTGGATGCCCCAAAATGGGGGGACAGCTGGCGTGGGGGAAGACTGGTGTTGGAGCCATGGTGGCCTCTTTTGTAATGCCCCACACTGGAAACAGCTTGCCAACAGGGAAATGTCTGCATGAATTGCGGCTGCATGAATTGTCTGTAAGGGATATTAGGCAGCTATTAAAAGAAGAGTTAAGAGGCACCCGGGTGGCTTAGTCGGTTAAGCGTCTGCCTTCAGCTCAGGTTATGATCTCAGGGTCCTGGGATCGAGCCCCATGTCGGGCTCTCTGCTCAGTGGGAGCCTGCTTCTCTCTCTCCCTGCCACTCCCCCGCTTGTGCTCTCCCTCTCTCTATCAAATAAATAAATAAAATCTTAAAAAACGAAGAGTTAAATCTTTTTCAACAAAACAACAACAAACAAACAAAAAACTAGAGGAATGTCCATGGGAAATCATTCATTGCAGAAAGCAATGTACTATATTATATATAATATGATATCATTTGCGTAAAATCAAAAGAAAAAAAGCCATGTCTGTCTAGCAGTGTCCGGGTTTATCAGTTTCCATGAGCAAGCAGGCTAGGAGGAAGGCCACACCCCAGGATGCCCGCAAAGCTTATGTCAGCAGGTTAGGACGCCAGGGAACTGAGGTCCCCTGAAGTCCCTGATTACAAGATTATTAACCCTTGTAATGCTCTCTATGTTGTTTGATAAATTATATTAAGCATGTTTTATTTGTGTAATTAAATAATCTAAAGAAAAAAGAAAACAAAAGCCCAAGTCTGAGTTCCAGATCTGCGTCTCATCACCTAATAGGTATTTCAACTTCTCCAAACCTCACTCAGATAAAGTGGCAACAATCATGCTCCTCCCAAAGTTTTGAAACTTAAGTACGTTAATTCATTAATTCACTTGATAAACATCTCTTGAGAGCCCTCTATCACCAGGCACTGTGCTAGGGCTTCGGGCTGCACCTGGTTTAAGGACTGCACTCTGTCACCTGATGATGTGGGGCCCGGGAGTTTGCCCAGCCACACCAATAAGTGACCGACAATGGCACTTCTTGGCTTGTGGGAGAAGGGGGGTCAGGGGGAGGATTTGGGGGTAGCGGGACTTTGTGTCTTTACCCTTGGCCTTCCCCGGGGGAGCCATCTGCTCACACAGAGCGGGGATTCCGACACAGGTTGGGGCCCCCTGGTCTCTGCCTCCTACAGCAGCCACCTCACACCGAGGTTGTGTTTCAGATCCACACCCCAAGAAGAGAAAGGGGGTGAACTGCTTCATGGTCATGGTGGCCATCTACCTGATTCTGCTCACCGCAGGTGCTGGGTTGCTGGTGGTGAAAGGTAAAGAGGTCTGGTCCCGTCTGGTGCCTCCTGGGGTGACACAGGGTTCAGGTTGAGTGGAAAGCCCTGGGGTCACTGCTGCCCACCTGCTGAGAAGGGGTTCTTAGTCCCTGGGTAGCCAGGTAGCCACATTGATGGGGCTCGGTAGGGGGGAAGTGGACAGGGGAGTGTGTGTGTGTGTGTGTGTGTGTGTGTGTGAGACAGAGAGAGAGAGACATAGAGACAGATCGAGAGAGAGATAGAGAGAGAAAGCACATTCGAGCCTGTGTGCATGAGAGCAGTGAACAATGCAATAATTTCACATGGGTCTGCTGTGTGCGTCTTCCATCAAGTCTCCCCAGTGTCTGAGCGGGAAGGGGCTTTATTGATCAGAGAGTTCATGTTAACATGATTTTACTTACAAAGTGTTCCTGGTCCAAATGTCAAGGTCATGAAGCAATTCCATCTGCAGACACTGAACTCACCCAAGAACATCGTGTGCCCAGCTGTCATAAACATATGTCACACGTATATTCAGGCCACATGTGATTACATCAGACCAACATATTGGTCATCATATGTTCATGCCCAGAGCATGCAGGAAGGCGAAGTTTGATCATGATGCTGTGAGTGCATCCCTAGGCCATGCGGGAATAGTCTATGAACATGTAATGTCATGCTTAAGTGTGAAGTGCCCATGTGCAGGATATAGAAAGAGCTCTGTGCTCACACTAGGTCCTCATGGCACATGAAATGTGTGTTCAGTATCCAGGACCCACAGAAGTTATGCGCATACGACACAAGAACGTCAGGGATGTGCTCAAATGCCTGGGATTTTAATGAAGTCCCTAAAAGAAGGCTGTGGGGTGGGGGTGGGGTGTCCAGTTCTGAATCTGCAGGAACGGCTCTGGGCCCTGGAGACTCACTTCACCAATGGAACACTGGCCGCCGAGGATGGCCTGTCCTTCTCTTTGCTCCAGTCAATGCCCATCCCACACCTCCCTGGGGGCACATTGGGGCTGCAGGTCCTGCATGCCCAGATCACCCAGGTCCGCACCAGGCAGGAGCATCTGCTACGGAAGGTGGACAACTTCACTCGGAGCCCAGGTTTGGCCCCCTCCCCTCTGCACCAGGACTCCCCAGGGGATAGAAAGGAGGGGCTGCTGGTTCATGGGAAAGGGGATCCTTGGACTGGAATCCGAACCCTCTTCCACAGTGAGGAGAACATTCCAGAACCTTGGGGCCCAAGGAAATGGGTGAGAGCCATATGGAGTAAGCATGAGATGGCTCTATAATGTTTGGGAGGATGGGTAAAACAGAGCTTGGAGCAAGTCCCAGGACCACTCCCATGTAGCCAACTAATACAGGCCCATGGCTGGAGAGAGAGTAACGGCCGGCACCAAGAGGTCTGGGCCACGTGGGGACCTCGGAGGGACAGAGCAGTGGGCTTGCTGGGGAAGTGTGATGGCTTGGAAGATAGGGCCCAGGGCAGAAGAAAATGGAGCCCAAAGTGGAGATGCCAGGAGTCCCCCTCCCCTCGGTTTTCTCGGGGCCTGAGACTGGGCCACGTGAGGTGGTCCAACCACTACACCCACCACTCTCTTAGGCTGTGCCGGAACAGGAGAGCTGATTTGGGCAAAAGCAGCTGCTAGGTGTGTCCTCACTATTGCATGGCGCTCCAGCCCCGTGTCTGGGGAGAGCTGGGGCTTAAGGGGTGATCCCATGGCCGCCGTTTTGTGCCCATGGGAGCATTTGCTGAATGGGCACAGGGTCCAGGTGGGAGAATCCCCCAGAGGCTGCGGTCTTCCCAGTGAGCACAAATGAAGGCTGAGCCAGGATGCAGGGACAGGAGACAGCTGTGGCAGATGGGCAGAGTCCAGGCTCAGATGTTCAGATGCTCAGACACAAGGACCATCACTCCCTTCCTTAAGATATGGTGGAGCTGGTTGTGATCAGTACGAGGGGCCCTGCCATTAACCTGAGGCTCTTCCTGAAGAGGTTTGGCTCCCAAGTCTTCTGACAATATAGGGTAGACTCCGGGGGTCTCAACCTTCTTTCCCCACTTCTGCAGCTCCCAGGGATCTACAGCTCCCCGGTGCAGACCATTAGCTGCAACAAAACATCTGGCTTTTTCTAAAAGCTCATTCCTGGAAAATACCCAGGTGTTTGGCTCCTGTTGTCCAAATCCCCCATCTGCCTGAAGCCCTTGCTCCTCAGCCTGGAGGGCAGAGGCTCCTGACTTAGAGCTGGGTGCCCTGGGTGCATGCCCTCACAGCCCAGCCTACAACCCTCTCTCCTCCCCTTGCAGAGCTGTTCCGGGTCAAAGGGGAACGAGGAGCTCCAGGTACGTTAATTTCCCCTCTGGCCCATACCTCCTGCTCACCAAGGCCTTTCCCCACGGGCTCCTGGGCTGATACCTTTCTGGGCCCTGACCCCAGCTTACCTTCCATGGGCCCCCACAGCTCCCCACAAACTCACTGGTCCTCCATTGGGTCGGCTCTCTCTTCCCTGACCTCGTCTGAAGTGGGAAATAGCTTCCCCATCCACCCCACCCCACCAAATCTAAGCCGCCTTCCACGGCCAGCCCAAGTGCATCGCCCTCAGGTGCCCTCTCCCCTGGTACCCCAGCTGCAAGTGCAGGATCCCCCTCTGTCTCCCGTAAGCACTGTTTCCAGATGCCTGTTACCCAACACCAAACTTGTCCCCCCATCTGACTACGATCATTTCCAGGGGTGCACGGCTTACGTCTCCTAGAGCACATAACAGGAGGGGCAGCCTCTGGGACCTGAGTTCTAATCCTAGCTCTGCCGCTTCCTGGCTGTGTGACTTTGGGCCAGTGACGTCACTTTTCTGGAACCTCAGCCACTCAGCTGTGTAAAAACTAACAGAGATCATTTTACTCACCTCCCGGGGTGGCTATAAGACACAAGTGAAGCAATGTGCAAAAAAATGTCCAATAGCAAGTGCTTTCTGAGGAAAACACATGTGCCTTTGTTGCTTTCTCTTTCTACCTGAACACACGCAGTATTAGCTGCACGCATGTGCACACATGTACACACACTTCCCCCCACCCCTACTCCATTTTATCACCAGAGCCGTTGGAATGCCACCTTGAAAATCATTCTACGTGGCGTTCTTGGGACAGAACCCTTTAGCCTCATAATTTTTTAAGTTTGGCCCAGACCACGCTGCTGGTCGTCAAGAGTTTCGAGTCAGCCTTGCATGGTGACACGAGAATCTGTTTGCATCCCCAGCACTCCTGGGGACAGACCCTGGCTCTCTCTGGAGCCAGGTGGCTTTGAGCAAGTCACTTAACACTTCTGAGCTCAGTGTCCTCCCCTGTGAGGTGGGGATAAGGATAGGACCTCCTGGGATTGGTGTGGGGATAAAACGATGAATGTAAAAATGTGTAGTCCGGTGCCCGGCTCAGAATATGTATTTGCTTTGTTATTTTGTCGGGAAGATTAAAGGAGCTAATGCTTGGGCAGCCCCAGCGGGATGGATGTTGACTCCTCCCCTCTAAGGAGATGCTGACTCTAAGGAGTCAGGGCTTACACCTCTTCAGATTCCTGTGTTGAAAATCTAACCCCCAAGGGGATTGTATTAGGAGGTGGGGTCTTTGGGAGGTGATTTGGCCATGAGAGCAGGGCCCTCTTGAATGGGATTAGTGCCCTTATAAAAGAAACTCCAATGAGCTCCCTCACCCCCCTTCCACCGCGTGAGGACACGGCAAGAAGTTCAGAAGAACCTGACCACACTAGCAGTCGAATCTTGGACATCCAGCCTCCAGAACTGTGAGAAATACATTTCTGTTGTTTATAAGCCACCTGCTCTGCAGTGTTCTGTTACAGCAGCCCGAATGGACTAGGACAGGACGAGGAGCCCTGTCCTGCCCTCCTGGTGTGTTGGGAGTCTTGAGTCTGCAAAGCAGCCCATGGGAAGGGACAGAACTATATGTGAGTGACAGCAAAAATAGGTGCCACGTGTCCAGAGCTGGCCACCAGGACTGTCCTGTGGAGCTGGTGTATTGCTGAGCACCTTCATGCTCCGTTTTACTGATGAGGAAACTGAAGCTCAAAAGGAAGAAGTAACTTGCACCAGGTCACCCAGGGGAAAGGGTGGTGCTGCTCCTCGAACCCAGGTCCGTCTGACGCACCTCCCTCAGAACACGTCACCTGCATCACTGCAGTTCACCTGTTACGCCATGAGCTTCTTGGAGGAAGGAGCTCTGCCTTCTCTTTCTTTCCTTCCTTCCACATGGTTTGGCTCATTCTTGGGGCTCAGTGGCAGTGTGTTGAATAAATAACAGTGTGATAAGCAGCCTTGTCACCCCACCTTGTGGGTTGGCTGCTGGGTGTCTCTGTTCCTCAGCTTTAGGTCTTCCAGGTCAAAGGGGACCCAGGGCAGGCCGGGCATCGCATCCCAGGTCTGCCAAGGCCACCGGCTGAGAAAGGGGGCCGAGGGGACCGAGGTGTGCCGTGGAGCCATGAACACTGACCCCTGTCTACCAGCCCCGTAATTGTTTTTGCCCTCGTTGTGCAGGCTTCATTCTGAATCCCTTTTCCTTTCCATGCCCCCCAGGACTCCAAGGCCCGCCTGGAATCAAGGGAGACGCAGGTGGGCAGGGGCTGGGTGTGTGCACAGGGAGAGGGTCCGGAAGCAGGGGCCTCAGCAATTTTATACCCTATGCCTAAGGGACTCGCCTTTTCTTTCCTTTCTCTCTGTCTCTCTCTTCTTCTTGTTCTGCAGAGTGAAATGTTGTCACTGTTAGTGTGTGTGTGGGGGGGGGGGGGGTGACACAGAGAGAAGCCCCTCCCTTCATGCTGGGCATCCTGTCCTTCTGTGGGGCTCTAGAACATCAGCTGACTGAGGAGCTGAGACTAGTTCTTTCCTTCCTCGCAGGCCTCCAAGGACCCAACGGTGCTCCAGGGAAACAGGGAGCCCCTGGTAACGTGTGTCTCCTCTGCTTGGGCTCAGCGGTGCCTTGGCCGAGGTGCTGAGCCAGTCGCCCCGCTACCCCCTCCCCACAGCCCCACCCGCAGCCCCAGAGGGTTGGTGCCCTCCCCCAGTCCTCTGCCCTGGAGTCTTACTGTGCCTCATCGAGACACCCCTAGATGACCTCACCTTCCCCAGACTTCCTCTGGAGGCCCCTTTCTCTTCTCCCCAAATGCCCCCTGCCCCATTGCCTAGGAGCCTATCCCAGGAGGATGGCAGGAGCCCACCTCGTTGGCCATTCTCTACCCAGGCACCCCAGGACAGCAGGGAGAGAAGGGGAGCAAAGGCGATGGGGGTCTTGTTGGCCCGAAAGGGGAACCTGGAGCTAAGGGCAACAAAGGAGACTTGGGTCTCCCAGGTAAGGGCCCTATGGGGGTGTCAGTGCTGGTGGGGGGGCCTGCGGGCTGGGTCCTGTCCCTGTGGAAGCGTGTCTGTTCTGTCCCATGGAGGACAAAGTGGACAAAGCTGGGCTCTGCCTGCCAGCCTCCCGGGAACACACACGAGGTCTTTTCTGTCCAGGTGAGTAGAAACCAGGAACGCGAAAGCTGAGAGCAGTGTGTGTTGGGGGGGGGGGGGGACAAAACCTCATGCCAGGCACGACCTGTGACAAGTGGGGACACAGGCCATGCTAGGAGCTCCGAGGAGAGGAAGGCGAGGGACAGCGGTGGGACCTGAGGTGGGCACAGGGGAGGAGGGGAGACTGGCTGGCAGGGAGGGAAAAGGGGTTCATCCCAGAAGCAGGTGCTACCTCAGAACTATTTGGGGCACTTGTTCAAAGTCCAAGAGTCTGTGTTTCAAAGGCCTGGATGATTTGATGCCGACAGTCTAGACGCTCTGAGAAGCGCAGCCCTGGGGGCTCTGGCCATGACTGAGCACCTTCCTGCCCCTTGTCCTTGGCCTCTTGAGGCCCCCTTGGGGGGTTCGGGGCGTAGTAGGGAGAGTGAGGCCTGTGCAGCTAGTGGGCTTGTTTTGTTTTGTTTGAAGATTTATTTATTTTAGAGAGAGAGAGCGCGTGCATGCACGTGGGTGGGGGAGGGAAGGAGTGAGAGAGACTCAAACAGACTCCCCGCTGAGCACGGAGCCAGATGCTGGATCCCACAACCTGAGATCCGGACCTGAGCGGAAACCAAGAGTTGGACGCTCAACCACATGCGCCACCCAGGCGCCCCAGCTACTGGGCTTATTTGCCATCCCTGCTCTGCACCTGTTCATTCACTTGCATCTCTAGGCACATTTTTAACCAGTTGAGATTTAGTTTCTTCATTTCAGAAAAGAATGGCGATGAAAATAATAATAATTAAATTATGCATACCTTGTAGGACAGTTACAGGGCTAGAGATCATGTTTTCAAACTATCTGCCACATGGTTCAACACTAAACTAATAGCCATTAGAATTAGCAGTACTAGCGATCCTTTCAGGTAGAAAGGGAAGGACTTCAGTTCTAAGATCAGACACACCTGGGTCCTAATACGGCTCACTAGCTGTGCTACCTGAGGCAAATGACTCGACCTCTCCGACCCTAATTTACTCACCTATAAAAGCGGGATAATAAGAGCAACTTCTAATAGGGATCAGTTACAACAGGAATATAAGACATAAGGTGGTGGCGCTGTACCTGCAAATGGGAATATTTACATTGTAAGAGACTAGGGTGCTTGTCTTCAGGAAGAGGGCACTTACAAGGATGTGTCAGTCTTGCTCAAACATTAGAAAGGCACTTGTGGAAGAGAAAACAGACTCACTCTGGGTGCCCAGCAATAGAAGGAGGAGCGATGATCAAGGGTTTCATGAGAGCCAATTGTGCCGAGGTAAGGGAGGAGGAAGGCATTAAGACTTAAGGCTGCCCAGGGATGAACCGGGCAGGCATGCGCGGGGCTCAGGGGCAGCTGCCGCGGGGGCGGGCCAGGGGAGGGGCTGCAGAATTCTTGGCGGGACTGAGCGAAACCTTTGCACCAAGCAGATGGTTAGACAGTTGACCTCTGAGGGTGCTTCCAAAGGCGGCCCGCCACAGTTCTCTGCAACAGGAAAGGGGGCCCTAGACTTTCTCAAGGTGGCCCTGCCAGCCCCGGGGAAGGGGGGGATGACAGCCGGCACTCTGCCCGCGGAGTCTGTGCCCTCCTGTTTCCCATCCCACACTCACCCACCGCCACAAACGCATGGTGACTTTGCGCCAGGGCATGGCACGCACACTCAGAGGTGGACTCGGGCCTGGAAACGCTGTGGCCACCCCTCCTCTTCCCAAATGTCCTCTCCCAAGATCACAAGATCTCTTTCACTCCGCTCTGGTGGTACCGAGGTTTGGTGCTCTTTGTCCCAGCGGATGGGTAATTCCCCTGGTACAGATCCAGGGGACACGTCTGTTTGCCTCACTTCACCTGTAGAGGTGATGGGAAGGTTCGGACATGAGGCGCAGCTGGGGTTCTTCCGTGGGTGGGTGCCAGACCCTGGTTGTTTCACCCAGAACGCCCGGCTTCCCAGGGCTGTCCCCTTTGATGGAAACATGGCAGTTATGGCCACACATAGCCACACACAGATTCCGGCCCAGACCACGCTCCAGAATCCTCCTACAGCCAAGCAATTCCTGTAACGTGATGGTTCCGGTCGGCCCGGAACAATCGGGCCCACCAACCAATTCCTCCAGGGAAGTAATTCCTAGTCCCTTCTAACAAATGCCATTTGTCCCTTCTGCCAAAACCGACACACTCAATGACCAAGAACTGCCTTCATTGGGGCTTGCCCCTGAGGCTTTAAGAGATCTCAACTGTAACCAAGTTCTCTCTGGTTATTTTGTTTCCCATCAAGGAATAATCATCCTTCAAGTATCTAAACCAGGAAGAATCTACGTCCTAAGCCTTGCCCCTAACATCACCCCAGCTTAGACCCAGAAAGCTCTGCATGACCCGTGATTCTTTCCCTCTGCTTCAGACCCTTCTGTCTCCTTTCTTGATTCACTGGAGAGAAGGCTGGTATCCCTCTGAGTCCTCCCCTTCTCTATCAAGAAAATAATGGAATGGAGCCTTTTAACCAAATTCCATCACGCTAAGCCTGTCCCAGGGCAGAGGGGGCTGCTCGGGGTGGGGCTTCGACTGGCAGGGCTAGCAGAGGCGTGCAGCTGGGTCCGAAACCAAACCCATGGATTGGGAAGGGGTTGCCAGCCCCCTGCTCTCAGGAGCCTCCCTCAATTGATATGCACCAAGCCGTGGCAGAAAGGAGGAGGGAGCAGTGAAGGACCGAGGTGAGGACAGGCTGGGACGAGCCTCGAATGCAGATGACAAGTGGAAAATTTGAAACCTCGGGCACCCGGAGAGGCTGTGGCTGAAGCACTGGCAGGAATCGGAGCTGCGGCAATGTTCCTCTCCCCACCCGTACCTTTGAGTCTCTATTCTCAGCATCTGGGATCGACTTTCTGGAATATTCAGATTTCGGTTTGGGAGGCTTGAAAAATAATTCCCCAAACGCAGACACGAAAATGAGCCAGGCAGCCCTGGCTAAGCTTAGCCAGGGCTGTGGTCCCTCCCAAGGGGACCGGCGTGCTGACCAGGGTCCTGAGAGCCTGGCTTCCCAGGCCTGCCCATCAGCCAAGCCAGGTGACCTTGACCATTTTTCACAAGTTCACATCTTGTCTCTGGGGCAAGGTGGTGTGCTCCTTGAGGGCAGCTATTGGATCTTCCACTTCTGGGCTCCAGGTCGGAGGAGCTCAAGGAGTTTGAGTTTGGAATTTGGGTGAGACAAGTGTCAGTGGGATCTGGCAGCTGGGTTTGCCCTTCTCCTACGCCTGACCACGACTCCTTGATTTTTCAGGAAGCAAAGGGGACATGGGCATGAAAGGAGACACAGGGGTCATGGGTCCCCCCGGAGCCCAGGGCAGTAAGGGTGACTCAGGGAAGCCAGGCCCCCCAGGTAAGAGGCTGTCCATTGGCCTGTAAGTATTCCCTTTCCCCCCTGGCAGACTGAGCTATAAGGGAACAAAATCCCTAAAAGTCCTTCTTCATTTCAGGTGTGGCTGGATCTCCTGGAATGAAAGGAGATCAAGGTAAGAACTCTGGGAATCCAGGTATCATTCGAGCTGCCACTGTCCCTGGACAAAGTCAAGTCCAGGGCATGTCTTTTATTTCACTGTAGTGTTACCCCAGAGCCCATGGGGTCTCTTAAAACCCAGCCATGCCCGAGAGGAAGGGGCTTGATTGGCATTCCGTCTTAGAGCTTCGCCGCACTCTGCCCTCCAGGGGTGTGGAGCACACGTTCACAACCCAGGGTGCCTGGTGGGTCCCTAAGCCCCAGACACTGCAGAGCCATGGCTGAGATGAACAGATTGCTCAGGCTGTAACTTTTCTCCTGCTGACTGGGCTCGTTCGCGGCTTCTAGAGGGAGATGATTAAAGCTGCCCAGGGAACACATAAGGTGGTAGGAGGTACACGTGTCACTGCTGAGAAGAGAGGTGTGCTGGGGCAGGGGGCAGCCAGGCTCTCTGGTGACCGAAGCCAACCTTGCAGTTGTCACTTGCAGGACAACCTGGAGCGAAGGGTCTTCCCGGCTTTCCGGGCGCGGCGGGATCTGCAGGGGCCAAGGGGGAGCCTGGCAGCGCTGGCTCCCCGGGACTAGCAGGTGAGGTCCTTGGTGCTGTGGTGGGCGCGGGGAGTGATGTCTGAAGATCCACAGAGCCCAGCCCTCATACCATCTGGGCATCTGTTGTATAGGACCAGCAGGGAGACCCGGGAGTCCCGGAGCCAACGGCGTGAAAGGAAGCAAGGGGGACCCAGGTAACAGAGGGTGTGGGTAGGGGGTGGGTGGGATGCTGGGTGCCAGGAATGGACAGGGAGGAGGACTGCTTCCCAGTGCTCCCACCAGAAGGAGGCAGAGGGTCTCCTGTGCTCTGGCCCCGGAAACCCCTGGATTAAGGAAGACACTTTCTTTTGCCAGGGCCCTTTGAACTCAAAGCCCTAGGGCTGTCCTCTCTCTGCCCAGGGTCCTTGAAGGGCCCCTATGCCATGACCAAACCTCCACCATTAAAGAGAAGGGAAGGGCAGCTGACCCACATCGTCTCCTGGCCTGCCTTCCAACTGTGTGCATTCTCTCCAGTTAACCTGCAATGGGACCCCAAGGGTCAGGGCTCTGGATCTGGGGGGAGGGGGGGGGTCAAGAAACCCTCTCTTGTACATTCTTCCAAAGGGGCTCAGGCTGGGAGGAGTGACCCACAGTAACCAAACTCACAGTGACTACTGTATAAACCTTCATGTCAACTTGGTCTACATTATAAACCATTGTGCCAACTTAGTCTAGATTATAAACCAATGTGGTCTACTTTATAAACCTCTACACCAATTTTGTCTAGTCACTAAGTAGGTCTGAGCAATGGTTTAGAAAGTCTGGGCCACTGTGTTGGGTGCTGGGGCACCGTGATGCCGAATACCTGCTTCCTACCCTCACACCTACAGGTCGGTGCAGGAGACAGGTAGACAGACCGTTGCCAGGAACATTCTGTCGTGGGCTTTTGCATGGAGAAGTGCCGAACACCCTTTAGAAAGCCAAGTGCAGCCTAGAGGTGTTGTAACAGGGCAAGGTCGAGAGAGCGGGCTATGCAGCTGCCTAGGATGGCGTGGACAGTCTGGCACAGCCCCTCGTCTGCCAGAGCAGAAGGTCATGCTGTGTTAGACAGCCTGATGGCCTCACGCGGAGCTGTGTGCAGACTCCCACCAGGGGCAGGTCCTCTCAGGGCTCATCGATCAAGCAGTTGACTGATGGATGGATTGATTCTTTAAACAAATGTGACTTAACTCAGCTAAATGCTTTAGTTTCACCGTGTCCCCTGTCTGGTAGGGGTGGCAAAAGGCAGAGCAGTGTAGGAGTGATGTAAGAGCTTGAGCTGAGTCTTGTGGAATGAGTGGAGCCTGGCCATGGGGAGGAGGGGAAAGGAAATCTAGAGAGAAGGAATAGAGCAGGCGAAGTCATGGAGGAATGAGGCAGAGCTCTGTAGGCTGCTGTTCCCGGCATCTGGGGTTGGGATGTGAGAGAGGGTCAGGAGCTCTGGCCAGAGGGGTGGGTGGGGGCCACCTCCTGGCTGGCTCTGGATTCTGGGCCTTCAACCACTGGGGTTTTCCTGAAGATAATCGAGAGCTTTGGCACAGGCCGTTCTAATACCCGTTGTCCTTCTAGCCCATCCAGCCTCGGAGCTGATTTCTTTTTCACGGGCTGTGTGTCAGCGTGAGCTGGGGATCTGCTACCTGATGTCATGTAGATACCACCTGAAGGCACCCAGCAAGGTGTCACGTTCTGGGTGTTGTGGTCAGATGTCCCTGCCTTGTTGGCTGCCTCTTCCTGATCTTAAATATTTTCACCTTCTTTGGTCCCAGAGCTTAGGGGGTCTGACTCTAGGGCCTGAGGCTGCCCTACCCCTGAGTTTTCTGCTTGGCTTCATAGTGATGACAGCTTTCATCCCTCAGTTATAAATAATGAGTCTCTCTCCCCAACCTCCACCGCCCCCCCAATTGCCAGACTAATGGTTCTTAACTAAGCAAGGGTATCAGGGGTAAAACATGATTTTACCCACAAGGGACACTGTGCCCACTCCCCAGGCCCCCAGCCTGTGTCTCCCACTGTCTGAAGGTAGGAGATTTTGCCCTGTACTCCATATCCTGGGAGGGCTTGCAGAAGAAGAGCAGCTCCTGATAATGAGCATTTCCATGACAAGCCGGTGGGATAAGCACTCTCATTAGCGCTATGTCACAGTGACTTGCCCACACTTGAGGAGCCAGGAGGAGGCACAGCCAGAACTGGAATCCTAGCATGGCCGACCCAAAGCCTGGGGCCTTGTCCGTTACACTCTGTCATGCTGTCTTCCTCCCCAGGCAGCCTGAAAGTACCCCCTACCCCATCAGGCATTCTGATGAGCGACACCTTCTCTCTCCATCCCAGGTCAGGAAGGATTAGAGCTGAGGCTACAGCAGGTTCTTCCATTCCGAGAAGGAAACCTGATGTGTTCAGGCCCTGTTATGGCCCACCTCCCTTATAGCACAGAGAACTTTGGCCCAAAGCCTGGGGATCGTTTTAACCCCATTATCAAGTTCCCATACATTTGTTGAGCACCTTTTTGGGCATCTCCATCAATCAGGCCGAGAGGTAAATGCCAACCAGGCAAATTCTAAGCATTAGTCCTTAATTCCGCCTACCCAAGTAAACATGGGGATTACGTTTTCAATTTGGAGCATGTGATGATTACAACTTACGTAAAATTGCATAGGTTTCCCACACAAATCCAAATGCTCATCTCCATCTAGTAGCTAATGGTCCCATCTCAAGAGGGAAGTCCCACAGGTCCATAATCTGGCCGCACATAGGCCGGTCTATATATCATCCCGAAGGCAGAGGTTAAGGAACTCTTGGAGAGGTTAGATTTCTCAAGTGGGAAAAGGAAGGATGGGTGGTGGTCATGGAAGATAACGCACACTTTTCCATGTCAGGACATTGGTATTCCCCCCAACTAGAGGTAGTATGGTGTTTGTCCAGTTTTGATTATATCAAGCCAGTTTTTCAAACCAGTTTCCTATTTTGTAAATAAAATCGTTAATCTCTCACAAGAATATCTAGCCTCCCTGGATGAAAACAGAGAAATTATAGTGCCTTGGCTTGACCTAGGTTAACAGCCAGATCCCATTATCGTGCATTAATTATTAAAAAAAAAGAAGTCTGTTTATGATTAACAATGCCTTTGGGCCAGGCACTATGCTTGGGATTTACTCCTATGATCTTAGCTCATCTGCCTGAGCCCCTGAGTTTCATCACCCCTACCTTACAGCCGAGGGAGCAAGCACTCCCCAAGGGTGAACAATCTCCTCGGGGTCTCACAGTTAATATACTCTGAATCTCAATCCCAAAGTCAGATCCCAAAGTTGTGCTTTTCCAGATTGTGTTGCATAAAATAACATAGAGTGTAGGACTCTAGAGAAGTCCAAATCGCCTGCACCTCCCATTCCATAGTAGATGGGTAAATCCTGGCTCAGTCACCAAAAATCCTCCTGTTGTAAACGGTCATTTACCATACCCCAACCCATTCGGGTGGAATGTTTCCCCGTGTTGACACCTCTTGAGAGAAAGCAGCCATCTCAGATTGAAGATGGTGAAGAGGAAATTCTTTTGGTCTGTCGGGAAGACAAACCGCAACATATCACGTAGGGCATTATCACTCAGCAGAACTTTCTCCGGAGGTCATTTCCTTTACCATTCACGAAGCAGCATTTTACCACCCCCCAAAACTTAGTTTTTTCTAACCTTTGATCTTTCAAAGGATTTCAAAATTATCTGATTTGGGGGAAAAGATTGCAAAGTACAAAAAAAAACCCCACAAAAATTAATTTTAGCTCTGAATCCCTTAGCCATTTCAAAGTTTGTTGGGCTTTGATTTTCCTCTTGAGACAAAGCCAAAATGCAAATAACCTGAAATCCATTTTCTCATCTGTATTGGAAGATATTTTATTGTGAAGGTAAGCAACAAAGAGTAATTCGTAATAGCAATTAAGCCCTATATTGTGAATATAATTTCTCAGTTCATTCCAGTCCCCATATCGAAGTACTGAGTTAGTCCCAGAATTTATTAAATTTTACCAACTCACATTTCTAACTTGTCGCTTATAAAACCTGTCCTCATTTTCCTCTAAATCTCTCAGGGGTATCTGCAAAAGTCTACACGCATCCCAGTTTTGGTCCCCAACCCGCCATCCTACTTCTGCTACATAACTCAGTCTGTCAGTTATTAAACACATCCTCACTCTGTCAGGCTGCACTTAGCCTGTATGTCAAGATGCTACTTAAGGAGTTTCCTAATGTGCCAGAAATTTCTACATTAAATCAGAGCTGGAAGATCTGCTCCCCAACTTGACCCAGGCCTCTGGGTTTCCTCCTCTGTGGAATGTGAGGAATAGTCTAGAATATATATCCAGGTCCCTGCTAGCTTGACAACACTCTGGGTTTGAAATTGGCAATTTCCCCTCAGAGCAGGAACATTCTAAGATTTTAGGCAAAAGACCAGCTGAACACTAAACAATAAGGAGATGTTTGCTTTCTAATGAAACGATTTTCTTGGGGGAGAAAATCATTTCTCTAAATAAACACCTTGCAAATAAATATTTTGGGTCCCCTCAGCTTGATACGTGTGTGATACCCAGAAAAACTCAGTTAGCTGTGGTTTAAAGGAGAGACCAGCATTTGTTTGCCTCAGAGACAGGAAGGCTGCTCAAAGGTGAGCTGGGAAGTGGTTGTTAATGCATCAGTGAGGTTTGTTTAGGGCAGTGTTACTCAAAATGTGGTCCTCGGACCAGCAGCATCACCACAACCTGGGAACCTGTTAGAAATGCAGCATCTCAGATCCACTGACTCAGCATCTCTGGGGTGGAGCCTGAAAAGCCAAGCTTGTTTCCCGAGCCCGGTACAGGCAATTCTGATGCACCCCTAGTTCGACTACTCATTTAGGGGAAAGGGATGGCCCAGGGTAGTCTGCGAGTGTCTTTGGAACCAGGTGGACAGCCTGAGTGGGAACTCCAGGAAGGTGGGAGCTGCCGTGCTAACGGGCCCAAGGAGCAGCAGCACCCAGTGGGAGACCAAACGTGGGTTACAGCCCAACTGCCCCACTCCCTCCCTGTGTGACCTTGGATAAATCACCTAGCATCTGTGACTGTGGACTTCCTCCTTGTCTGTATAAAGGAAAATGGCACGACCTGCAGGGCAGCTGAAAGGTGGAATGAGGGTGTGTATAAAGCTCCTAGCAGCGGGCCTGGCTCAGCAGATGCTGAGTCCCCGGGAGGGGAGGACCTGGGGAGGAGGCTGTGAAAATGAGGTGGGGGTGGGGGTCAGGCCATGGGGACCACGGACCTAGGAATAGGGGAGTCCCTATGATTCCTGTCTGTACAGGGTGTGCTTGTCATTTGGTGCTTTGGGGACAGCTGGAGATGGGCACTTCTTTGGGAGGGGACAATAAAGGGAGGTCACGGGGCCTGGGGCCCCTGCACCTTGCTTCCAGGGACAGACTCTCAAGGTAGAGGTTTCTGCAATATGGCAGTCTCTAGGCCACAGAGGGCCAAGGGTCAAGGTATGGCTGGTTTTTCTATTTACTAACAGCCAAAGGCAGATTTCTGAGTGTGGCTTCTCCTCTCTGATCTTGACACATGCAATTCAGATGCTGATGAGCAGAGGAAATTTGTGCTGCCTTAGCTGGGTCACCTCAGGTCCCCGGGGAAACAATTAGGGGGCTTGTTGGGCAGCGAGCCTGGAGCTCATCTGGGCCAGGGTCTGAGGTGCTCCCCCCAGAGGGGAGACAGACACACGCCAACAGGGTCCGTGGGGTCTCTGTGGCAGCACTTACTGAGCACGGGCCAGACACGAGGCTCAGCCCATGACACAGGCGACTTCATTTCAGTCTCAAGACCACCCCTGAGGCAGCCAGGAGACTCAGAGCAGGAAAGTGAGGCTCCCAGAGGGCAGCACCTTGCTCAAGGTCACAGAGGCAGATGCCAGCCCGGGCCGGCTAACTCTGGCCGCTTTGCTGCCTCAGGGGGAAGTATGCCATCCACGGGCAAGGCCAGAGAAGGCTTCGCGGTGAGGTGACATCTGACATCTTAGCAGGTTTTACAGGCTTGATCTGAGTTCTCCAGGGGATGGAAAGGGTGAGGCATTCTAAAAAGAGGGACCGGAGCAGGTGCAAATGTCCTGCGGTGGGCCGGGGCCTGCCTGCCAGGGTCTGACGTCTGAGTTTCCCTCAGCTCTTTTTTTTTTTTTTAAGATTTTATTTATTTGAGAGAGAGAATGAGATAGAGAGAGAGAGCATGAGAAGGGGGAGGGTCGGAGGGAGAAGCAGACTCCCTGCTGAGCAGGGAGCCCGATGCGGGACTCGATCCCAGGACTCCAGGATCATGACCTGAGCCGAAGGCAGTCGCTTAACCGACTGAGCCACCCAGGCGCCCTCCCTCAGCTCTTGGAAGAGGCTCGCTGAGCCTCAGTTCTGTCCCATCCCTCACATGAGGGGCTGAACTAGTTGCCCTCTCAGATCCTTCCAGTGTGTCCTGCTTTTCCGGTGCCAAGGTCTAGCAGTAGCAGCTCTGAGCTCCTGGGGCTTCTGACCCAACCACACGAATCCTTAGCCACATTAGGGCCACAATGAAATGAACCAACAAATGCTATGGAGCAGCTGCTGTGGGTGAGGGCCCCCAACACCACTGGCGGCCAAGGAGTCCCCTCCACAGCCTTCTAGAAATAAAGATGACTTTATTTTCAAAATATCTCTCACTTCTTTTCCAATAAAATGCAGGCAGGAAGGAATGGGATTGGATTTATACACTGAGTCAGGCTACCATCGGACAAAGACGGCCAGCCAGTAAATCCAGAGTCCGTCTGTCTGTCTAACTCTGACTTTCATCCACTACCTTTCTACTTCACCCCAACACGTGTCCCCATTTATCTGCGGTCTGTCTCCTTTTATGCTCTGCTAAGGAGGCTTTAAACAATCGTGGAGAACCAATGTATCTTTCCGTCTGCATTAATCAGACAAAAGGTAGAGGTTGTCTAAGATTAAAAGTGTCTAATATCTAAGTTTTATTATCCCCCCCACCTTTTGTATTTCGATCTTAGGACTTCAAGGACAGAAAGGAACAAAAGGAGAATCAGGAGTTCCAGGTAAAGGGCTGGCTTCATTTACATTTCTCAGAATGATGTCTGGAAAGCCTCGTGCTCGGAGGGCAGGTCTTGTTGACTTTGAACGTGCTGCTGTCACCTTCCCCCAAAGCGGCCGGGGCCCAAGCCTGTTTGTGGCTAGGACTCCTGTCCTCTGTCCCTCAAGCCTCAGATTCTTCCCCTGGAAAACCTGGAGAGGGACAGAACTCAGGGCCCTGAGGCAGGGGAGAGAGGGGCTGAGCTGAGGGTGGAGAAGGGGGAAGAAGGGGCTGGAGAGCTGGTGGTCAGCTGGTGGCCTCAGGCCGTGCAGCCTCCGTGGAGCTGGGCAGTCTTCCTCTGCAGGCCCCAGGCTGCAAGGCCTCTATCTGCTTCCCCATGTCTGTGTTGGTCCATCTCCGTCTTCGTCAGTCCCCTGAAGCTTCTCCCGTCCTCCTCCTGCTGCTGGCCCCTGGCCTGTTACGATCACCTCAGTTTTCCAAGCCCCTGCCTGTGGTCCCTCCCTGAGTGCAGCACTTCCCACAGAGCAATTCTAGTCTTCTCCACAGCCCCGCCCTGATGCGTGCCGACGCGAAACTTCTCAGACACATTTCTTGAACTGTCTTTCTTCCTCCTGAGTTGGATATTTGGTTCCTATTTGAACTTACTAAAGGAGATCTCGGAAGCCTAGAAACATTCTAGCAAGTTCTCCCAGAATGGCCAGAACTTCCACACAATTAGGTGGTCTGATGAGGACCGACAACCTCTGGAATCAGCCGTTTTGACCTGTGTAGCACTCATGTGAGAGTCAGTGCAGAGATCACAGCAATACCTGGCCCCCCCGCCCTCACCACCTCTCCTAGGTGGGCCAAAATCACAGGCTGAACATCCAAACAGCCCATTCATGGGGGCGGGGAACGTGCTTGTCAAGACAACCCAGTCATTAAAGCCCAAGGTCCTTGGTCTCCCTTGGAAAGCAGAGCGGAACATCTGAGGGAAGCGGTCTCTCTCCTCTCCAGGTCCTGCGGGCATGAAGGGAGAAATGGGAAACCAGGGCCTGGTAGGCCCCCAGGGTCCACCGGGACTGAAAGGCCAAAAGGGAGAGCAGGGAGCGAAAGGTAAGGCCTCAATCTGTGATTTGTGGGTTCTGAGGAGAGGCCCTGTTGTAAGGGGTTTGGGAGTTTTCAGAACCAGAGGTGTAGAGGTTTATTGGCTCCCTGGACAAGTTCCGTGCTGGGCTTGCCCTCAGCCCTGAGCACACGGAAGTGAGTGAGGCACAGCCTGGGCACCCAGAGGGGCAGACACGCGAATGTGTGCTTGCACGATACCCGGCCACACCCTGGCCCCCAGAGCTTTCCACAAAGGAGATGCATCCCACTGTCTGTCTCTTACCTGTTCAATGCTCCTCACTAAGCTAACTTAAATCCTTCCTGCTGTAGGGCAAGCCTAGTTCATCTTGCTCAACCAGTGGTGCTCATGGTACATCTAGTCCCCAGGATGCCAGGTCACTGGCAAAGCTGGAGGAGAGAATCTGCCCTCCCCACCCACACCCTCGTCCCTGCTGCTAGCAAAGAAGGGTGAAGGGGTCCTGGCTTGGTTTCCTTTATATTGTGTGTGTTCTTTTTTTTTTTTTTTTTTTTGGCAGGATCTTCTGGAGCGCAGGGAATACGGGGAGAAAAAGGTAATTATTAATTATTATTAATTCTGTTCTCTTTAATTGGTGCCTTCGAGAGAACTCTGTACTTGAAAACTAGCTGTGGTAGAGGAGAGACCCTTGTTCTCAGAGAGATTCCTCATTTTGGGAAAAGCTAGCAGACTCATCCTTTGACTAAGCCTCCCCAGGACGACATAGAACCACAACACAACTGTTTAGCTCCCCTCCCCCACTTCCTTCACTTTCTCTCTTCTTCCCTCCCTCCCTCCCCTCCTTCCCTTTCTCCCTCCCTCCCTTCTTTCCTTCCTGCCATTTCCCCCTCAACGTTTCCTTTCCTTCTCGCCACAAGACAAGGCAAGATGCAGCCGGCTGGAGAGGCAGGACCAGCCGCAGGTGGATGGAGGCTGCTCGCCCGGTTGTGTTGGTGTCACATGCAGGATGTTCCCAGCTCTGGTGATGGCCAAGCAGGAGGATTCCCCCTGCCCCTGAATAACAGAACTTCCAACAATGAAAAGGCAGAGCCTGCATCCACACAAAGCCCGAGGCTGCTCTCTTCACCTCTCCCACGTATGTCTTTCACCCAGGTGAACCCGGACTCAGTTATCCGGTGCAGATGGTCAGGATTATCGGCACTAGGAACCGAGGCCGGGCTGAAGTTTACCATAACAATGTCTGGGGGACCATCTGTGATGATGACTGGGACAATTCAGATGCCACTGTCTTCTGCCGCATGCTGGGCTACTCCAGGGGAATAGCCCTTACCAATGTAACACCTGGTGAGTGGGTCCTCGGCCAGGAGCCTCTTTCCTGGAAGTTTTCCCTTTGGTTGCAAGTGACCCAGTGAGTTTGGGTTAAAGAAAAGGATTGGCTTAAGCAACTGAAAAGTGCTGCCGTCCAGGCTAGCCACCCCAGGACAAAGAGGACCTGGACAGCAAAGGCTTGGCTGGGGCTCTGGCTGACCTGGCTTGGTCACTGTCTGTGCAGCCCGGGAAGCCAGATTGCTCCATGGCCAAGGGTGTTGGTGAGCCGTGGCTCTCTGAACGACAGCGAGGTGCTGGTCATGGCAGAACAGAAAAGTTGCAGGGTAGGCAAACACAAGTGCTCATCTCAGCTATCTGGAAACTAGAAGCCAGGAATGGCCATGCTGTGATCATCCTCAAGGAGAAGGTACAAAGGGAAAAGAAAACAAATCAGAGCAGGGACTTCCTAAAATAAGTTTTGGAAAGATATCCCAGGGTGCTAGAGACTCGGCCTATCTCTTTCAGCAAAAGGTTCAAACTTTCAATAAAGTAGTTAAGTCCCCAGGCTGAGACCATTTCTTTGGCCACAAGAGTTGACCTGGCAGGGACACTAGGCCACCTTCTCCTGCCCCCACCCCCAAACACTCTCTGCCTTTCCTCCACCCTACGGTGCCTACTTGCTTTTTAACCTGAGTTCCATATGGATTATAAAACTCCTTTAAAGTATGTGTTTTCCTCATATAGATTACACTTAATGTAGATCGCTACACTGTAAACTGTGTAAAAGTGTAAATTACTGTAACCAAATACAGATCTTCCTGAGTTTATGATGGGGTTACATCTCAATAAGCCCATAGTAATTTGAAAACATTGTGTCAAAAATGCATCTAATACATGTCACCTACCAAACATCACAGCTTAGCCTCGTCTGCCTTAAGGGTGCTCAGAACACCTACACTGGCCCACAGTTAGAAAAAATCATCTAACATAAAGCCTACTTATAATAAAGTGTCGACCAGCCCATGTCATTGATTGAATACTGTACTGAAAGTGACAAACAGCATGGTGGTCTGGGTACGAACGGTTGTACGCGTATCGTATATTGGTTGTTTGCTCTCATGATCACCTGACCGACTAGGAGCTTCTGCTACCCAGCATCACAAGAGAGCATCGTCCCACATATCCCTAGCCTGGGAAAAGACCACAGTTCAAAATCCCAAGTATGATTGCACCATCATTAAGTTGGAAAATTATAAATCAAACCATCGTAAGTCAGGACTGTCAGTCATCCTGCTGTTTTCCTCTGTGCTGTTGATCTGAAATCAATTATATCCAAAGGAGGGGATTTGGAAGAATGTGTGAATGCTTTTGAGCCAGAGAATGGCCTGGTTCAAAGGGCATTTGAGGAAAGTGGGTACGACAGCAGGGACTAAGCAGGAAAGAGACAAACACTGGGAGGCCCCCAGGAGGAAATTTCAAACAGAGCACAGATTAAGTATTAATAATTAATAATAGAGTATATATCTTTATCTTAATCTATCTCACCTAATCTTTGGATGAGACTTTTGTTAAAGGGCAGAAAGCAGGAGGGAGGCAGAGTCATGGCAGGAGAGCCTGAGGGGCTGTGAGGGAAATTGGTAGCCTACCCCAAATGCAAGTTTGGCCCTAATCCTGCTCTCCTCTATCTCCCTGCTTTCCCTATATCCAGGCAGTGGGGAAATCTGGCTGGATGACGTTGCCTGTCGAGGGACAGAGATGAGCCTCTGGAGTTGCCAAAAAAGCAACTGGGGCTCTCACAACTGCAACCACAATGAGGATGCTGGCGTGGAATGCAGATGACCTCCCACAGCCCCTCCACTGTGCTGTGCCCAAAGTGTCTGCAGACATGGACACTCAACTTCTCGGGGGGAGGGCCAACACTCTCTGAAGGGTCACTCTGGGCTGGGGCCACTAATAAAGCTCAAAGCACGACCTGGTAATGTCTTCTGCCGTGGCTGAAATCACTAGTTCATACCTCCCGTCCCTTATCGATGAGCCCATTCAAGGGACACATTTCACTGAGTTCTCACAGGGGGACAGCGAAGTCTCAACATATAGCCAGGGGGAGGGTGCGCTCGAGGGGGACCTAAATGCGACGTGGAAAGTGAAGAGTGCCTATAGTCAAAACGAGGCATGCCCGTCCCCTCCCCTTAAGCTCCCTCACTGGAGCTGTTCGCCAGCAAATGGGGAGGTGGGCACACAGTTGACACCATGTTGCATGAAAAACAGGAACTGTGCCTTTAAGCATGAAAATTAGTTTTCTTAGGATGTGAGCTCCATAAATGAGAGGACTGTTGTCTGTTTTATTCACCCATGTAGGGGCTCAGTAAACATGTATTTAATGAATGACCGAATTAAACCAAGAAGGTAGAGCAGCTCATGTTCTGAGCAACTTGGCTCCCCCCTCCCTTTTCAGGCTTCCTCTGGGTTCTAAACTTTCTGAGTGCAATCTCACGTGCACTCTCTCTCTCTCTCTCTCTCTCTCCCTCTCTGAACATCTAGTCTCTTCCCTGCACTGCACAACACCAACCACCTCTTCATTCTCCAGGCAACCTCCTAAGAGATCTTTAGAAATGACAAAGAAACCACCATACTGATCCCTGCCTAAAGCCTTCAATGGCTCCTCCTTCCCCGAGGCAGTGAACCACACTCATCACCTGGCTTGCAAGGAAATGCCCCTGACAGTTGACCCCACACTTCCCTCCCGTAACCTTGATGCTTCGTTTCCTCTCTATGTTACATCCAGTATCTCCCACACATCACACGACAGTCTCTTGCTGTTTTCTGATTGATTCTCTGAATAAATGGAAGGAAGGAAGGAAGGAAGGAAGGAAGGAAGGAAGGAAGGAAGGAAGGAAGGAAGGAAGGAAGGAAGGAAGGAAGGAATGCTAAGCAGAGTACTCTGCTTTTCTGCACTGGGATTGCTTCATAGTCTTCCCGCAGCTGGAGGGCAGGTCCTGGTGTATCATACTCTAATTATTGTGACTAAGGACCCCCCACTCAAACAGTTTCCCAGGAACGAAGGAATGGTTTTCTCCAAAGGTGAATCTACTCTTGGGTCTTTTATATTTTATAAGGTTGGCTTTCAAAACAAATTCATGGAGCCCATGATGTACTAGGAGTATTGTAAATTTTTTTTTTAAGATTTTATTTATTTATTTATTTATTTGAGAGACAGAGAGAATGAGAGACAGAGAGCACAAGAGGGAAGAGGGCAGAGGGGGAAGCAGACTCCCTGCTGAGCAGGGAGCCCGATGCGGGACTCGATCCCGGGACTCCAGGATCATGACCTGAGCCGAAGGCAGTCGCTTAACCAACTGAGCCACCCAGGTGCCCGAGTATTGTAAATTTTAAAAGTTCATCTCTTCCTGCTGCCTCAACATGCCCACAAACACGCTGTGAACACCCAGTCCCCTTCCTACCTCCCATGACTGTGAACTAGTGCTGGTCAAACACCAAAGGGCACCAAGGAAATTCCCTTGTGTCCTTTGCCTGTGTACCTACCCAGCCCCCAGGTAAAGGCCTTTACCCATGGGTTCCTCATGGTCCCTTAGCTCCCCACCTTCGTGGCTGAGCCTGGTCCCTTGGCGCTCTTCCCACGTGGTCCCCCCTCTTGTCCTGCAGTGACTCTGTCTCTCTAGGACCTGTGAGTTTAATAAACTTTGTTTTCCTGCTCCTCTCCTGTGTCCCCTCTTGTGGCAGCCCCTGAGTGACCATCCCCTAAAAGGACAGGGAACAGTAGAGTATCACATGATATGTGATATTATTCCCATCCTCTAAATGAGCCAACAGAGTCGCAGTGAGGTTAAGTGATGCGAGATTGTGGCTCCCATTCATCACCCTTCTGTCCGTGGCCTTCACAGTGTGACTTCCCAGCTCATCATCAGAAGCCTGGTCTGTTGCTCGTTCACTCTCTGGGCATTCCTGGCACATTATGAAGATTAGTGCGTGCTAGCCCACTGCGGGAAAAGTGAGCTTGTGGAGCAGGGTCCTGTTACCCCGGCTGAGGCCATCCTTCATCAGCCAGCCTCTAGCTGGCCACAGTCCCAGTAGGGAGTTCAGCCAAGGCTGCTCAAGGAGGAGGAGGAGGAGGAGCTAACTGTCCAACCAACCCACGAACTCATGAGCAATCACAGCTGGTTGTGGGTTAAAGCCACTAAGTTTGGGGTGTAGTTTGTTATATAGCAAAAACCACCTAATAAAATGAACTTGACTAAGGACCCACAGCCGGTAAGAAGCAGAGAGGGATTTGAACCCAGGTCTGTCTGACACCAGTAAGATTAAGAGACAAAGGAGAGTTGCTGCCCCTGCACATCTGCTCAGGCAGCTCCTCTCATAAGCTCTCAGGCCAAGCCAAGCTGAGAAAACTTCCCCTCCAGAACCACGGGCGGAAGGAGGGTGGGCACGGCACGTGGCCGCAGTGTGGGCACGCTGGGTCTGTGGCTGATGGGCGGCTGACTGTGGGCCCGAAAGGAACTGGGTAAAATTAGCATGACGCATCCTCAACGGCCAGAGAGCAGACTGGGGTGGGGCTGGCGCCGCGGAATGTTCCGCATGACCTCCTAACCTCTGTGAGACACTGCTGTTCACTTGAAGTAGTTCTCCTCCTGCTTCCCCTTCCCCTGGCTGAGGCCCACAGGACAGACCCCAGCACGAGGCAAGTCGGGCTGAGCAGGACAGAGACGGCCGGTGCTCCAAGAGCGCTGCGAGCACAAAGCCTTGTCACTTCCTGCCCAGCAGGGCAAGCCCAGAGAGCTTCCTGGCACCCAGCTAGAGAGACGCAGCTACGAGCGCAGGTTCTGGAGCCAGACTGCCCCAGAACAGGCTTCCACCTGGACAGTCAAGGTGTTGAAACTCTCTGGGTTCCTTGTCTATAAAATACAGTAACAACTGCTCCCTCTCAGGGTTCTTGTGAGGGTTAACTGAAATCATAAGTCAAAAGAAAGCATTTAACAGGGTGCCTGGCACCTGGTGAATGCACAGTGTTCGTTACTACTATCCTTGAAGACCCTCCACAGCCCACCCCTTGCCCCAGCACTGCCCTGCTGGGCCCTGTGCCCCAGCAGGCAGGTTTTCTTGGGGCTCTCCCATCGGCACCAGGCTTGGGGGTAGGACACACTAGGATGGGGCGTCCAGGGCCCCACACAGACGGAGCTGGCAGTGGGTCAGGCTTACTGGGGCTCAGGCTTGTGAAAGACGAAAGGTAGGAGCAGGATGGGGCATGTGAGCCTCAGACCTGCTCGTCTACATGACTCTACAGGGAAATGTGGAGTGAAGACTGCCCCCCAGAGGCGGCTCATGCTGGGCAGGAAGAGCCAAGCCCTAGACCTTCCCCCCTTCCCCCTGCCCCCTTCTGACGCTGGCCAGGCTGCCCTGGAAGTGCTAGACCTTGACCCGGAAGCACGCAGCCTTGACCCGGAAGCACGCAGCCTTGACCCGGAAGCAGAGGTGAATAACGAAGCGCCACCTCGGGGCTAGCGCCTTTGTGCTCCCGCCGCTCAAGGGCAGGTTCTCTTGAAGTCGGAGACCTAGGAGGCCTCTGTGCCTGCCGAAGATGGTTTGGGGGAAAGAGTATGGGATTTCGGATCAGATTCAAATTCCAGCACCAATGACCAATTGTGTGGCTCTGGGGAAGTCACATAACCTCTCTGAGTTTCTGCTTTTCCATCTGTAAAGGGGGGAATAATGATGATGATGATAAAAATGGTAATAATATACTGGCTCGTGTGGATTCATGGCTGTGCTCTTGGCACTTACTGGGAACTGAATAACAGCAGCATTCACTAGGACAGCTTGACCCCAAGCTTCCATTCCAACTTACATGGCTCCACGCCCAGAATATCTTCCCTTCTTCCACCCACCATGCCAGAATCCTTTCCACCCTTTATGGCCCAGTTCACATTGCACCTCCTTTAAGAAACCTTTTCTGGTGGTTCTCACTCCAGAGAAAGCTTTCCTTTCTCCCACTCCCAATAGCCCATCCGTGTAAGGAAGGAGAAATCAGCACAGAATCCAAGATTTTCTGAGGGCTGACTGTGGCATGCACCATGCTAGATGCATTCTACTTTTCTGCTGGTTACCCTGATCTTAGTTATTCTTCACAGCAACACTGAGTAGAATGTTTCCTTATTATCTCCACTTTATAGATGGGAAAACTGAGGATGGGAGAAATAAAATGACTTTTCTTTGGTCATTAAAACTCATCTCCAGGTCTTCTAGCTCTGAATACTTTTTCCTTTGCACCATGCTGGACTCAAGAAGCATTCAGAAAATGTGTATTGTTGCAACATAGGAATTGGCATTAAAATCATATGCAAACGACACTCCCCTGATAGGGATGTTCTAAGTCTTTGGGCCTGAGGAGAGGATCAGAACTCAAGGAATTTGTTCATTTAAAAGCTCTTCCGTTCCCCTTTGTGGCAAAGTAATCAGAGGCAAATAAGATCAAATCCAGGAATATAAGCCGTCAATTCACAAAAGAGAGACCATAGGCCAATAAACATTTTTTTTTTTTAAAGTTCATCCTTACAGGGGCGCCTGGGTGGCTCAGTCGTTAAGCGTCCGCCTTCGGCTCAGGTCATGATCTCAGGGTCCTGGGATCGAGCCCCACATCGGGCTCCCTGCTTGGTGGGAAGCCTGCTTCTCCCTCTCCCACTCCCCCTGCTTGTGTTCCCTCTCTTGCTGTGTCTCTCTCTGTCAAATAAATAAATAAAATCTTAAAAAAATAAAATAAAAAATAAAGTTCATCCTTACCTTCAATAAAAGAAATGCAAAAAAAGTGAGGTCATTTATTTGCATGTCAAATTGGCAATTAAAAAAAATCCTTGGTGGGGGTGCCTGGGTGGCTCAGTTGGTTAAGTGACTGCCTTCGGCTCAGGTCATGATCCTGGAGTCCCGGGATCGAGTCCCGTATGGGGCTTCCTGC